CGAGTACAGGATGAGAATGCTTGTGATCTTGGGTTTGCATGATAAGGAAAACAATCTTATGAACTAAACAATAGACAATAAGATGCTGAATTGCGCCTGGCTGAAATGCAGTCTTAGTGATAAGGCGACTGTAACTGTAGCAACAGCAACTAAAACCAGATAGATGAGCAGAAAAAAATTATTTGGCCCACGTCATGTGCCCAAAAACAGTTCAATTTTTCGAAAAATACTTATTAGAGAAGCAAAAATTCATAGTTAATGTTCTTGAAAAACTTTAAAAATAACAGCCCCTTTTTGTCTACAAATTTACAATATTCTCTGTCAAACACTTATGTATAGAAAGACATTCAAAGAAAATAATATACCTTTCACATATAACTATTGCAAAAATTCAATTTTAACTTCTTCGTATTTTTTCAAATTTTCTTTTTTCAATTTAGTTATTTGATTAGAACATTCCAGGATGTTTAAATGAACATTCCAGCATAAATGCATCCGCTTTTATAGCTGGTAAGTGTGCAAGTGACGTTAAGAATCAGTCAACCATTATAACACACATTATTTTTGCACAATTTCTTCGAAACAATTTTGATAGAAAAAGACGGGTGTTCTGCAATTGGCTATTTTAATCAATAAAATCTACACCAAAAAGTAAACAGTATAAAACATTTTATCATCCACAAAAAACAATTAAAACTTTGCTACACATAAAAACTGATAATGATGGAAAAATACACCGAAATGTATTTTGATTGATAAAGACAATAAATGACTGAAACCCAGGAATGCATTTGATTTGGAATTGAAACACAGTCAGGATTACAATTATTATTACCCAATTTCAATAGAGGAATCAATCGATCAGTGACTGAAAATACGGGTATTCTGCAATTGGCTATTTTAATCAATGAAATTTACACCAAAAAGTAAACAGTATAAAACATTTTATCATCCACAAAAACAATTCAAACTTCGACACCGTGAAACAACCGATACTAATCCACTACTCAATAACGCGTATGGCGCTAGAGGAATTTCATGGAAATCACGCGATTCGAAAAAAAAACCGATTTTAAATAAGTGGTAAATTTAATTTTAATAAACATTCAATAGAAGTGAAGTAATGACTTCCTTCTCGTTTGGAAGCTAGCAACCAAGAAAAGTCCTAAAATTCTAGTTTCTGAGATTGCAAGTAATCTTGTGGTTCCAATGCTAGCAACAATTGAGCAATTTACCCAGAATTGAATTTATTGCTTGGAAAACATCAATTAATAATTTATTAATAAATAACACAACATGTTTCTTAACAATCATATTTTAAATTTTAGCGAACCAAATCCGGCCGAAAATAAAATCCTGAACATTAGTTGGGACCCGCTACCTACTGGAGATCTACATATTGGTGACACTTTGTTCCTGAATGTGACTGGCTCTACATATACGGGAGTGCATTTCAGTATATGGCAAGGATTTTACGAAGAAAGAATTGCATTATGGGAGCAAATTGAAAGTGCAATGCGAGAGGGAATACTGCGTCGCATGATGTAATCACCATCCTGCGGCAATATTTGCGACACTTAGAAAACATCTGCGACAATATTTATGATTGAATCGAGTAACATGCGAAAACTCTGGATGGAACTTTGGAGAAAAAGCTACTAAATAAAGATTTTACTCCGAAAAAAATTTGGGCTTTTTTCACTTTATGCTGATGGAATAAACCTTCCGGGCATTTACGATTTCGGAAACAAAGTTACAACTGCTGAGGGTAAACATCGAAAAGGCAACAGTGTACGGCATAGGAAAACAGGCAATAGCAAATCATTTCACACACATTATTTAAGTGCGATATTTAAAAGCACTTTCTTTCTTTCAGTTTTTTAGTTACAAAAACAGTTTGTTCGTTAGTATGTATTTCAAATTAAATCACGAATTTTTTGTTCTTGTGTGTATGATTGCATTTCTTTCTTTCAAGAAGCGTTGATCAATTGAAATGTTGGATAATTTCCAACAAATGCATGTGATCAGCTAAGGCAAATTTGAAACAAGAAAACGAATTCCTTCCTCGAAAAGGCAGATAAATGAGTTTGTCCTTTACCGTTTCGGAGACTCATTTTCAAAATCTTTATCGCAAAAAATGCTTCCACGGCAATGTACCACGGCAATGTTCCACGGAACCTTGTAGGTGTGCTAAAAACAGTTGATGCGGGCAGCGCTTTCATGAGACTTCAGGGCATTTCACAAAACTGAAATCTCCAGAAACACGCCAATGAAATCCGAGTAAAAACACACCAAGTTTTTATTTTTCTTTATTTTTGCAGATTTTACAGTGATATATAGCCTTTAAGGGTACGTGCACAGCGGAGGCCGAGATGGTCGACGCGACTGTACGCGATAAACGCGGAAAACATAAATGTACGGTATTAGATTCCTCTGTGCATACTGTATGCTACGTGGAGGGAGGCGATGGGAGTCTGAGCGGAGCGGTGCGATTGAAGAGAAAATAGTTTGTTGTCTGCGATCTGCGGCTTTAAATGGGAAAAACCTCACTTTATTGGGAAATTTCTGGGAGTTTTCAGGATTTTTTCAGATACTAAATCAAAGCGATTGGTCGTAGAACGCTAAAGTCGCGTTCTATATGCACACTCACTCGGACTCGCTCACATCGCTTGGCCATCGCTTGGGCATCGCCCAGCTCGGTCGCCGGTGTGCGAAAGAAACAAGGTAGAAACACATCATCCGATAATTTGCAAACACTACGCACACCATGTTCTTCATACCGTTGAACTGAATCCTTCGTATACATTTTTCTAAGTAAACTTGTTGACCATTCACAATTGCTATTTAATAACATAAATCGGTTTTCTTGCACAGCGCCAAATGGAAAACTTCCTTGGGATTAGATCAGGAAATCGCACTGGCCAGAATATCCAGCCTAAGTCTACCTTCACTTCAGTGAAGAGAAAACATGCCTCCTAATATTAATAACCGTAGTGTCTCGATAAGGAACAAGGATAATCAATTAAACTTACCTCAATTAAATTAAAGTAATTTATTTGCCTTATGAATTAAAAGGAAATACTCACAATGCGTAAAGAGAAAAACGAGTACAGCAAGGAAATACAAAAAAAGTTGTTTATGTACAATGAAATCCAACAGCTAAGAAACTGCATCGTATCAAACAATACAGTCAACACGCAATCAACTCCGAAAATAGTTAGTTGATCATGTGAAACGAAATTGCAGCATTTGAAGTTAAATTAAAGGGAAGTTTAACATAAACTAAAAATGAGATTAAGAATTAACTACTATGCTTAAAAAGATTGTACACAGTAACAAATAAGCAAGTAACTCTAGTTTTAATATTATGAGTACTTAATTAAATAACAAATCAAATATGTACGACCAAATAATAACTTTTGAAGACCGGTGTCAATTAAATTAGTGGCTTGTTTGCCTTAAGTGCTATCCGCAACACAAAAATGTCGAAGTTTCTATTGAAAATAAACGGTTTGGACCTGGAGCTGGTTGCCCTAACAATTTAATGCCAAAACTTTTTAAAAACTGTTGTAAGTTCACGGTATTAATTAAATATAAACTGAAATTTAAAGAAATCACATTTTAAAACTAGGCTATTGGAAAGCCAGGAAAAAGTCACACAAACAACATTTCGCTTAAAATGTCAACATAAAGAATGCGCATTTTTGAGGCTGATTTAATAAAGTAACGAATATAAATCATGGGCAGTTTCCCCTACAGATGCACTGGCAAGGTCGCAAAATGCCCCAATAATTTCGCCAAAATTTCTGTTACGAAACTGTAGAGAAATATGCAATAAATGATCCACAAAAAGTGGTTGGTTTCACAACCGTAAACCAAAGATTATTTTAAAATTGTGACTTCCCAGCCCTTATGGTGCGTCCAGAACTGACTAGCCGAGCCTGAGCCGCGGTAAAATCAAACATTGTTTAAATTATTAAAGAAAGTCCAAAAACCCATTTTTACGCATAACTTTTGAACCGTTGATGCTACTGAAAAGTTTCGTTTTTTTTTTTCAAGTATTAAAAATACCTTATTAAAATTAAATCCGTTCATTTATTTCCTTAAAAGGCGAAAAAACCGCCAATTTTTGCGTTTATTTTTTTATACTTTAGTTTTGCTTCAAAAAAAGTCCCACTATACCTTTTTTGAAGGGGTTTGTTGTCTTTTTAGCTTAAAATATTCATAACTTTCTGTTCATTTCCATTTTTTATGTAAAAAGGGCTCTGGCCCGATTCTAAATTATCTTCTATGAAGCTTTTCTTCAGACGTAGGAGAGACTTCTATGAGGCTATATTTTACTCGTAAAGAGTTATGCTGCAACGTACAATAAAGGAAAACTTCATTACTGAATGGTAAAGTGTTTAAACATTAAGTTGAAAATGAGGAATTTATGTGAACCGCGCTCGAATCTGAAATGGTTTATCAACAACTTTTATGAAAATGTTAATGTTTAAGCAATTTACCGTTTATTAATCAACTTTTCCTTTATTGTAAGTTGTAGTATAACTCTTTACGAGTGAAATAAACCTTCAGAGATATTCTTCCCACAATGTTCTCCAGTCGGAAATCGGGCTCAAACTATTGTCCCAATATTCCGAACCACTTAATATTCTTATTATTATTATATCCAATAACATTTTACCTTCATCAATTTAGGGGCCCAAACAGACCTTTTAAAGTGTGGACTACAAAGGAATTTGACGCCGCTCAGGCTCGGCTTGTTAGGTCTGGAAGCATCTTAAGCAACCAAAGTTGGTTTTTTGATAAACTTTACATTGAGATGATAAACGAAAACAGGTAAAGATGTTTCTTTGTCTGTGTGCGTGTGAGTGCCTGAATATTATATTGTTTACAAGTAAACCGTGCCCCACAAACCAAGAACGGCAATCAGGCGTAATAAGGCAATCATGTTCTAGAAAAGGCGCTCTTGACTCTGTGGGGTACACGACTTTAACTAATTGTTAAGAGCTATCAGTTGACTATCAATTATTCACAATAAACATTATGACACTATCGGAAATTATAGTCTTGCTTATGAAAACGAGTGAATTCAACATAAACTTGCAATGTTACATAAATACGCATAAACATAGTTACAACTATCGGAATAAATTAGGTGAAATTTCCAATACTGGTACTAAAGTAGATGGTAGCGGGGAATCGAAAAAAAGTCACCAAACAGTTAATATTTTAGGTAAATTTATGTTTTTGCCGGAGCGCAAACATCAATATACAATTTTTACCCAGAGGGTTTAAAACACTAGTGGATGCACAAACTTTCAATGACAAGAACAGGCTATACCCAATATAAAGAGTAAGTTTAAAGCAGTAAATCGGGGCTTTTGTACATCGGAACTGCTCCCGTTCGTTCGTTAAAGAGGAGAATTTCCGCATGCAAAAAAAGTTCAATTCAAATAGCACTGAACACTTTCACGGTGTGTGAAGTGTTTCGTATTTGCGAACGAGTAGCACATAGTTTGAAACAAAGGTTTCAATTCCCAAAGATTCTTAAACCCAATGTGGTCAGAAATTAATATAGTTCTAGATAACTAAAATCAAACTGCATTAGAAAAGGTATTTAATTTCGAAGATTAGTTCTCCGTTTCCATTGCAGATAGCTATTTACTTTCAACAAACAAACTAAACATTGCAAAAAAATAAATCACAAAAGTCGAGTGCTACAGCGCGGTTCGAGCGTCGGCCAGTGTTTTATACGTTATCAGACTAGTAGCTTAGGTAAAAAATTCCTCAGCTCAATCTTACACTTTTGCTCACAATCCCGGAAGTTTGAATGTTAGCAGGTAGATGTTGCGGCTCCAGTAATTTGCTCGGAAGTCTATTGAGCTCAATCGACTGATATTTTGATGGAACGCAGCCACTACCAGTCGACGAGATGCGTACCTTCAAACAACAGCTGACGGTTTATGATGAACGGCTTGTTTGTAACTTGCAGGCATCTAATCGAAGATTAACAAAGTCCAATAAAATTAATAGTGCAGACAAAATGTATTTAACAGAAAATGGTTAATTGGCACAAAATCGATTTTTAACCGTCTTCCTTGGGAGGTGTAAACCAACCTGAAAAAAAAAATAAATATAGTTTGAACAACGGTGATTTTTGCTGTCGGAAAACTGAAAATTACATCGGCATTTTGAAGTAAATACAAATTGATTCCGGTCATGTGTTATGAAGAATCAAGCTATTTGTTGAATAATCAAATGTTAATTTTTTCAACCTTAAAAACAGGACATACTTTGACCTGGCTTGATCACTGGCACCTTGAATGCGCATACAGACAATGAATAATGTCCTGATTGGGCGAAATTTCTAAATAGCTGGACTAATAAATCAAAGAAACCACATCTGTTTGCCTACTAGTAAATCGCATTTCTTGGGCTACTAGAGATCGATTCTGGGCTCCCATATAAGAAAAAGTGTTCAACTTGCTTAACTTTATCGACAGAAAAAGTCCCAAAGTTAGAAATTACTTGCATTTCTTCGATATTTAACTTAATCTAATAAGTAACTCAAGAACAGGCGTATTTTCACGCAAAAACAAAAATATGTCAAGTTACTGTTAATAAAAACGGCTTTTTCCTGTTTGCACCGAAACTCGAGGCTCCTTCGCTTCAGCTTCATATTTTTTTGTCAATTCCACAAGGCGAACTGAAGAGGAACTATGGAAACCAGACCATTTTCCTACTAAGTTTACTTATATTACTTATTTTAGACAATGTGTATGTTTAAGTCCCCAGCTTTTCATGCTCTTGAGCAAATAAATCTCAAAATTCGACCTGCTTAAAGATCCGTGAAACCCACATGTAACGTTGAAAAATTCTCAAAAATTGCATTATTATGACTAAAAATCAAAATTTGTGTCACAACGACTGTCTCACTTTGGTTCTTCCTGAATAAATAAATGTCAAACTCCGGTTTTCAAAAACGTCTTAAACCTAAACCAATTTTAAGATTGAAAATGTCGGCGAAAAATGTCCTGATGATGACTGAAAATCGAAACTTTTTCCTCTTATAGGACTTTTCATCAAAACATGCATCCAACATTTATCTTCTCACTTCGCAAGTTACAGAGGAAATAAATGCTATCTTTCCGCCTACAAAAAGTACCACGAAAACCAAACGTGGTTTTGAAAATTTACTGAAAATTTCTTGATGACTGAAAATCGAAACTTTTTCCTCCTGTAGGACTTTTCCTTAAAAAATGTATACAAAATTTAAAATGTTAAATTTTCGCATGCAAAAACCAACGCGTAAACCAAACGTGATTTTGAAAACTTCGTGAACATTCCCTGATAATGACTGAAAATCGAGACATTTTACACTTATAGAAGAGACTTTTGCTTACAAAAATGCGTTAAAAATAGATTTTTACTTCGCAACTAACAGACGAAATAAATGGTTAAATCGGACCTGCAAAAACCATCACAAAAACTAAACGTCATTTTCCTGACGATGTCTGAATCGAAACTTTTCCCTTATAGGACTTTTCCTTAAAAATGCATCCAAAATTGACTTTCCCACTATGCGAATTACAGAAGAAATTAATGCTAAATTACGGCCAGCAAAAACCATCACAAAAACCAAACGTCATCTTCGGAAATTCTGGAAAATTTCCTGATAATGCTTTGCTAAGATCCTTTTCTTTAAAAAATGCATCCAAAATTGACTTTCTCAGTGCTCGAATTACAGAAGAAATGAATGCTCAATTAGGGCCTGCAAAAACCACCACGAAAACCAAACGTGATTTAGAAAAATTGTTGAAAATTTCCTGATGACTCAAAATCGAAAATTTTCTTTCAAAACTTTATCCAAAATTTACTTTTTCACTTCTCACCAGAAGAATCAAACGCTAATTTGGAAAATTGTTGAAAAGTTCCTAAAGATGGCTGACAATCGAAACTTTTTCCTCTCAAAGGACTTTTCCTTAAAAAATGCATCATTTTTAAACTTCAGGCAAAATTAACCTTTTCACTGTGCAAGCGACAGAAGAAATTAATGCTGAATTCCGGCCTCCGAAAACGACCACGAAAACGTGATTTTGAAAAACTCGCCCTTATAGAACACTTTTCTTTAAAAAGTTTAAGCAAAATTTACTCTTTCACTTCGCAGGTAACAGAGAAAATAAATGGTGAATTCGGACCTGCCATGAAAATCAAACGTTATTTTGAAAAATTCGTCAGAAATTCGGAACGATTAACGAAATAAAAATGCGTAAATAATTTTGAAAAACGAAACTTTTTTCGATTATAGTAGGTGCTTTTCCTTAAAGAATGCATCCAAAGTTAATAATCAAATTCGAACAGGGATTTATAAACCGTTCCATTTTCACGACGATCTTCACCCGTTTAGATGCTCTCAATTGTTCATCTATTTTCAAAGTTTGGTTTAATTTTTTGAATTCAACTTAAAATTCTTATGATTTTCAGTTCCCTAGTCGAGGCCTAATAAGCATTTTGAGCGATTTTCAAAGTACCACCACATTTTGCTTGAACACATAGGCAAAATAGACTAAGATTAAGGCCCGAATCAAGAAAGCCACTCATACGCTACTCATCTCAAATCCAACTCTCACTCATCTGCCACTCACGTTAGGGTGAGATGAGTGGTCCCTAAAGGCCGTTTTACAGTCGGCAATTTTTATTGCCCGCAACTTTCTTGCACGCAATATTTCGTTCTGCGCTTGCGCATTTTATCAGTTTTTGAGTTGCCGGCAACTTTTATTGCACTTGCCGGCTATAGTTCCAAACCTAAAATTTCTTACAGCTAGCCGCAATTTTAGTGACTTTTCTGGTTGTTTTCATGCTGCCAACTGTTCGTTCACAGTAATATAAATCAACAGCACTGGCATATTTGTTTATTTTCGTTTTTCATCGAAATAAACTACAATTTATGTTAATCACAATAATTTCCTTGGCAATATAATTGTAACCTCAAACGAAAACAAAACAAACAAACTTTAGATTTTTTTACGTATAGTGAATAGTTGGTACGCTTGATGGAATCGTCTAAATGTGAAGTTTAACATTGCACACTGTAAAGCGGAGTACTAAAAATATAGCTGCAAGGAAATAGCCGCAAGAAAGTTGGGGGCAATAAAATTGCCGACTGTAAAACGCCCTTAACTAAAGCCAACTTTCGGTATTCAAAAACGACACTAATGAGTCACTCACTTGAGTGACAACTGGTTCAAAGAAAATAGTTTTAGTAGGTTATGTTCTCATAAGTAAATAACTTCATTCCGKTTCCATAACCTCAGTTCAGCTTTTATTATCACTTGTTTTGTTATGGGTGTTTGAAGAAAAAATTACGTTTATAATACATGTTTATTAATTATGTATAACATGAGTGCTAAGCGCAGTTTCATGTCGAGCTCTGAGAAACAATTTCAGAATGGGAGAATGTTCGTATATCAATTGCCAAAGAAATTCTAAAACAAGAGGGAGTGAAAGCAAAAAGACTAGAGATAAATAAACAAATTTAGAAAGAATTGGGGGTTTAATACCCCCAATTAAACCTTTCAGTTTGCTCTATAGTTATACTTTCATCGATTTTCTGGCTGGTGTCAATGGCAATATTAAGAACCACCGCTGTAGCAGCAACAATTCTGGTGGTATATCGTAATGATACTTCCAAGCACTTTTCTAAACGTTTAAAACGACCTTTCCATACACCAAAAGCGCCTTGAATAACATTCCTTGTTAAAATATATGTTATTATATCGCTGCTCGGCTCCTCTTTTCGGGTTTCTCGATGTTTCTGAAGTATACATATGTCTATTCTGGACATAAGCACTATCTCCATGGAACTGCCATAAAAAATTCTGCTATCATGATCAGAACCTGGCTAATAAATAACAATATCCTTAAGTTCGGTCCAGCTACAGCTTCATTGTTCATGCATTTGATCCACCTTGGCTTGCTATTTCAATGTGGGTGCCATTTATACATCCAATCACTCCATGAAAACTTGCAACTTCATGAAACTGCCGGATTTTAATTGGTCAAAATGCACCAAAATAAATCTTGAGTACGCTATGAGGGGACGAAAAGCCACACTAATTTCTCACTCACTTATGGTACTTAACGCGCATGTCTTTTCAAAGTTAGGGACAGTTTAGTCACTCATTTAAGAAAATGGTTTCTGAATACGGTTAGGATGAGTTGAATCTGATTTTAGTGTGAGTGATGGTTGAGTGTCGTTCTTGAATTCGGGCCTAAGAAACGAAACAAAGTGAAAAATGTGTAAAAGTATAAAAAACAGGGCATTCCGGTGTGAAAACCGTGTTCGCTCAGGTGTTTCGTTTGCCGAAACTCTTAAAACCTTTTGTAAAAGCTAAAAATACAAGTGTAGAACCTGCTTGTATACATACCATTCTTTTCATGGATTTGTACCAGACTTTTGAAACTTTGCTGTGCTCTGGCCAGGCTGTACTGGCCTTGGGTGCACACTTTTGTTGGGCCAAACTGTATCCTGGCCTTCCCTTTCACCAATGTTGCTGATATCTGCATTATAACTGCCTCGACGGTGTAAGCACTGGACCAACCTTGCTTCGTCAAGAGTTCCATACAAATAGCTCCACCAACCAGGACATATCCTCCTGTTGACAAATCAGTCGATTAAAAATATTTTTTTAAACCAATCTGAGCGGTAAAGCAGAATGAATAAGAGTTGAATTTTAAAAATGCAAAGGTTTGAAAGCATGAAAACAGCGCCCACCTGATATAATTGGATGAACTACTCGAACAAATGGAGGTTCAAAAGGGTAAGTGTCTTTGAATAGCATATTCAGCAGAATGCAGTCTTTTCCCTCTTTTTCTTTGAGCATCTGAAGATCGTGGGACAGTGGACTATCGGGATCGACGGCCATTAGTCTGACGTTCCATTCGTAGAGCGAATCATTGATCAACTCAATTTGGTACATTTTGTTTTTGAAGGATTCGGAACGATAGATGTCTCTCAGTTCTTTCATTAGTCTGTCCGTTGCCTGTACCGATCCGGTTACTGCGCCCTCGAAAACAGAGACAAAGCATAATAAAGATAATCATATTATCTATCAGTATTTATAAAAGTGATTGCAAAATATCGGGTATTATTTGATTAGATAAAAATAATAATGTATGCTTGTTAACTTACTTTTAAATAATCCTGCCTTTGATTTTGTCGAAGTCTCTCAAGTGTCGCTAGATGCTCGACGCCCATTTCATCGCATTTTTGTCGTGGATTTGAACCTTCTTCCATATCCATTCCTACGTTGAACATCAATATAACATGCATTGAACATTTTGCAGTATGTTTCTATATTGAATTGGACACCCCGAAATGAGTATGCGATTTGCGGCCGTACAAAAAACTGCATTTTAACCAGCTTTATAAATTTAGAGCGAAAAACAAACGATATTCAAACAACGTTCTCTCTAGCTAATAACGTTCTAAGCTAACAGTTCTGCTTTTATCTGGTAAATACTTCTTCGTTAATAAATTCATTAGATGATTACCTAGATCTTCATCATCACCATCATCACTATCATCATCAACCGTCATGCCATCAGAATCCTGAGCATCAGCGTCACTATCCAGACCCTCATCCTCCATTTGATCAATGCCACTATTACTAATCCTGAAATAAACCAAAAACGTTCTTAGACACAATTATATCCAAGCGATCAATGAATTGGTGTTAGGAATGTGATCACTTCTCAGGTGGCTAACGGTGATTTGAACAGAGTTTGGACAATACAAACTTTTCGTTCGCATTCAGACCGACTTCCTCCATCATGTTGTTAAGGTATTTCACAGTTCGCAATCAAAGCAAAGGCTCAAATCTTGGTCACATTTTGTCACTTTCCTGACAAGTAGACTTCAATTTTGAAAAAGCGTCAAAAAATAAAACCGTAGTACAGTCCCTATGAAGTTAGTTGGGCAAACGTAAAAATTGGGGTGTGTTCAGTTTACTGCATAAAGTGTCCCCGTACGTCTAGAATATTCGCGAGTTGAAAAGTCCAGACGCCCCTGGTGGCTAATTTTATAACTACAAGATAAGCAGTAATTTCACACTAGTTTTGTTGACATTGGTGTCACATTGATGTTTACATGTTATTGTGATTTGTTTTGTTCTAAGCAACTTTTGCAAGCTTTTAAAGAAATAGAAACAGATCGAATCAGAACTCCAATAAATAAACAAGTCTGACAAGTCTCGACTGTCACTCGACGAGTAATTTGACGTTTCGCAGCTCCACCATCGGTAGTTGAAAAGTCCAGACACCCCCTGGTGGCTAAAATTATAACTGCAAGTTAAGTGGCAATTTGACACTTCCTTTGCTGACATGGATGTCACATGGAACAGTGGTCCTTAGACGCAATACGGTCATGAAGTTTTAGAATTAATGTGGCATTTAAATTGTAAGATTTTCTTTCAAAAATCAAATTTTTAAATATGTCTTGGTATTTTGGAAAACAAATTTATAGTTATTTAGATAAAAATTGGGAGGAAATTTGAAAAATCGAAAGATAAGTCATGGACCACTTTTCAAGCCCTTTGATTGTGGAAAATACTTACTACAAAAGTATGTAATTAATTTAAAAAAAAATGGCTTTTAATTACATTTACAGACCAGCTAAGATTAATTAAGTAATTTAATTTTCAAGATTATGTAAAACTTAATATTAAATAGCACCAAACATTTACATGTAAGGTTTAACAATAACTAATTGAACTTCTAACGACTTAAAATTAACGGTAAAATTTTGAAGATATGTTATTGAACGTCTGGTAGCAGATGAAACACATCCTTTAATAATATTGACTTGCTAGGATTTGGTAATTTTCTTAACCTAGAAATTAATGGATCTGAATGCAAAAGATCTGTGTTTGAAATAATACGAGAAGTTTTTCTAGTATTATCACGTTTAAGTTATTGTATATTTTTGTTGAACGATTCTGCAGCTTCTTCAAAAAGTTTGCCTATGGATAGGAGTGTATGAGCAACTACGTTAGATCCATGCAGAAAAATTTTGTGAACTGAAGGTAGATAATAGCACGGATATTGCTTGACAAGTTCCATGGGTGAAGGGGAGATAAGCCAAAGCGAAAAGTATTCATATCCACCGGCTTGCTTAAACACAGTTCGAAATTGTTCATTATTTTGGTGTTGCATTACAAATGCACACAAAAAGTCTCATCAAGTAGGTGTTATACCTACTTGATGAGACTTCGGCAAGGGCGCAACATACTTTACCATCAACCATGGTTAATTGTAAAGAATGGTTAATTTTTACTTCGCAATCTTCATATTTGAAAGTTGTTTTTTTTTATCGCTGAAATATGATTCTTATTGAAGAATGAGCTCCTCGGTTTCTTTGGCAAATTGGAATCGAACAACTCGGTAAAATCTAGTAGACGAAGGGTGAGGATTTTTCCTAACAATGGCATTAAGATCTGAAGTTCTTCATTTACAAATTAATGATGTCACAAACAAATTTCCGTGAATTGAGATGATTTGGTTACTACTCATTATTTGAGTAAGTATCGATACCTTCTCAGCATCGTATCATCCCTATACAGTGACTGTTTATTCAGATTTCGGTTTTATGCTGGTTCAAGTAGGATCGGATGCACCTTATTAAGGCCAGGTCACATCTGGTCACATCTATCCGATCCAACTCCGATCATACAATCGGACGAAGATCTGAGAGCAAAATGGTACTGGACTTTCAACGCAGTAGTTCACATCTTTCCGCTACCT